ATGGCGATCTTGATGAAGACATCATATGAGTCAACCTACAGGATACATTAAAGAAGGTTATCGCATTAGCTTCTGCAGACTCAAGCGCTAAATTTATGAAAAAAATCTCTTTGCATGTGAAACTTAACCATTGACAAGTTCATGCTTAAGGTAGGATTCACTTAATGTAAATCGGATCATTGCGTGTGCGTCAAAAACTAAGATGAGAAGATGTTGTTTGTAGTGCTGTACGGGGATGATCTCTTTATTGCTTGCAACCATGACACTTAAATAAATTTGACAAAAAAGCGCCACGTGAACGATCTGAGATGACAGATTTAGGCGAGCTGAATTATATTCTTGGGAATGAAAATTACGTAACACCGCGTAGATGGAAAAGTACTTACAAAATAAGAAGTACAAGTAATTACGCCTTTATGATGAACAAAGGCTGCATCAGCTGGTGAAGAAATAAGCAATGGACGACAGCAGTTTCTAACACAGAATCTGAATATATGACGCTCTCGGAAGCTACCTAAAAGGCGATGTGGCTTTAAATGTTCCTGTGCTAGCTTGGATAGATACAAAACAATGAGGCAATTAAGATCTACGAATACGATCAAGGTTCTATGAGCTTCCAAGAATCTGAATTTCACAAGCGCATCAAGCACATTGACATCTAATACCACATTTTGTGAGAATGTCGAAGAAGAAAAAGCAGTACTTAAGTATTGCTTATCTAAGAATATGCTTGGTTTTCATGACCAAGCCAGTTCCTTCTGTACACTTCGACAATTTAAGAAAAAGCTGGGTTCTTGACCATCACGTGCTGTTGAGTCGAGTGGTAGTGTTGAAGATAAAGAGATTAAATCATCTTCATGATTACGGCTTTAAGCTGGGTGATCGTAACATGCACAAAGATCACTTCAAAGATGGGATGATAGATTGGCTTAAACGTAGCTACTAGTGAAGTAAGGACCTATATTGAATCACTTAGCATTTTACACTCAACCACTCGAGCGAATTACTTTAGAAGTGACCCTAGGCGTACTTTTAAGACGCCTTCGGCGTATAAACAATCCTGCCGTAGGGGTATCTCAAACTTCCATTAGTTCTTAGATTCAGGATACCTACACCACTTTACCAGATACTGTTTTTCATCGTGACGGCTGAATTTATATTAGACGGTCCTCGTGACTGGATGTTCCCCTGCTCACCGAATAACGCCAGTGGAGGCCGGCTGTAATGGGGCACCCTTCGACTATACTGATAACAATATCGAATACCTTCACTGATGACAGTGAAAGCAGGTGCCTCAAAACCTCTCTTACACAAAAAGGCAGAGGAAGCTCTATTTTTAAACTACACGCTTAGAAGTAGAGAAAAAGAGTGCTGATTTAATATAGTTAACTATCTAATAAAACTAATCAGTTATAATCTATGTGTTGAATTGATATATGTAGAAGAAGGCAAATATTGTGAAGTAAATATATTTGGTCCTTAGTTCACTATCTTGAGCTACATCTAAACCTGTCCTCGTCAGATCTTTGTTACTGACGTCATCTAGATATGTCCGTTAATAACGTCATGTCCTTTCAGCTATTGGCCTTTATCATATCCGTATCCTGAAACGTCAGGATACGAATACGATATCATATAGCGCCGTACGCCTGTCCAACATGCATTCAGCGGTGAAATAACAACACTTCCACTCACCGCTTATGCTGACTGCGCCTTGGTCCGATTCCATTTGCTTGGAGCAAGTACTTGAGTCGCTTCGTCCCTAGTGCCTCGGTCAACATGTCTGCTAGCTGGTCTACCGTTGACTTGTACTTGACCACAATAATGTCTTGAGCCACATTCTCTCGGATGAAGTGTTGACGGATGTCGACGTGCGAGGTCCTGGCATTGCATCCTGAGTTGCTTGCAAGTCCAATCGCACCTTGATTATCTTCATAGACCAAAGTCGCTCCCACTTGCTCGTGACCGAGATCCTTGAGCATCGCGCGGACCCACAGTAATTCCTGGGTACAAAAGCTTAAAGCCATGTACTCCGCCTCTGCCGAACTCAATGCCACAGTGCGCTGGTACTTGGACTTGAACACGACTGGTGCGCCACCAATCATCACCATTATGCCTGAAACCGAGAGTCGATCGACGATGTTGCTTCCCCAGTTCGCGTCCGTGTATGCTGTTGCTTGAACCTCGCTTGCGCTGCCGTCGTAGATTATGCCGTAGTCTCTTGTAGTCTTGAGATGTCGAAGAACACGAATGGCAGCCTTCCAATGACGTTGACCAGGATTTTCCAAAAAACGTGACAACTGTGTGATTATATACACCACATCAGGTCGCGTACATGTTGTGATGTATAGCAGACATCCAACCAACGACCTGTACGGCTTCGACTGCATTTCTTCTCTTTCAGCGTCCGTCGCTGGTGTTTGTATTTTTGATAGCTTCAATCCAGACTCGCATGGGTTGACAACTGCCTTGGCTTCATCTTGGTTCAACCGGCAGACCACGTCATCGATATAGCGAGTCTGACGAATCATTAGCGTACTGCCGTTACGATCATGATCGATATCAATACCTAGAATAAACTTGACCTCACCGAGCTCCTTCATCTTAAACGAATTTTTCAGTGCTGTCTTGACTTCCTGGATCTCTCTACTGGCCTTGTCATCGATGATCATGTCGTCGACGTAAAGACACACATAGATGAAGCTGCCATTGTTGACCTAGACATAGACACACTGATCTGCTCAACTGCTTTGAAAACCAATTTGCAGGAACACACCATGGGTAGTCATGTTCCATGCACTCGCAGCTTGTTTGAGTCCGTAGATTGCCTTGTCCAACTTGCACATCATCTTTTCAGCATTTTTTATGCCATTAGGTACTTTCATGTACACCTCTTCTTTGAGATCACTGTTTAGAAACGCCTTGTCTGCATCCATCTGTTCGGTCACGTATCCTTTCGCCACCACCACAGCCAGCACGAGCCTGATCGAGTTTATGTTTTCTACGGGTGAGTACGTCTCAAAAAATCGACACCGAACTTCTGCTTAGACCCTTTAGCGACAATTCGGGCCTTGTACCGCACCACCTGTCCGTGCTCGTTGCGCTTCTTAGCGAAAACCCACCTGCATCCGATTGTTCGGACGTTCTTCATCTTCAGGACAAGACTCCATGAACCATTTTCCGAATGAGCTTTAAGCTCAGCGCTCATAGGCTTCACCCATTCCTTGGCTTCGTCGCTATTCATAGTTTGTTGATATGTCGTCGGTGCATCATTTGCATCACCAATACTTGCCGCATATGCTTTTACAGCTTCTGCAAGCAGGTTATCTTCATCAATACGAGGTCGTTTGGGCGACGGCGGATATAAATGATCGTCATTGTCAGGATCATCGTCGCTATCCATTGTGTTCTCGTCAGCCATAATCAATCCATTCCCAAGAAGAAGTGATGGTTCTCTTGGACGTCGAGATCGTTCCCTTTCGGGCCTGAAAACCATGTCACCGTTTGCTGTTGACTCATGTACTCGATGATATGTCGTTAATTCTCTTCTTGATGACATAGGCTCATGTTCATCTTCTTGCATCTCGACGTCTTCAAATGGGTCCGCTGTCAATTCCATTGGTTCATCCTCCACAGGATATTCCTTCTCATTTTCCGGCTGAGCCACTTCTTCGATGTCCTTCATCACGTTGATGACTTCAGTCTTTTCTGTCATCGTCGACGTGCTATAAATTCCATTCACCTCGCGTTCGTCGAGCTTCACTGTTCTTGACATCTTGACTATATTTAGCTCCAGATCATAGACGCGATAGCCCTTCGTATTGTCCTCATAGCCAAGAAACATACACTTGAAGTTTTTTGGCTCGAGCTTTATGCGCTTAGCGTCGTCGACATGAGCATAAACAATTGATCCAAACACTCGCAAGTGGTCTAGTCGAGGCTTAATCTTAAATTCAATCGCGTATGGAGTCGCGTCAGTGTGTGTGCTGTTTGTTGTCCGGTTAATTAAGTACACTGACGTGCTAATTGCCTCTGCACACCAGGAAGTAGATACACTCTTGTAGTGCATCATGCTCCGTGCCTTCTCCATTATCGTTCGGTTCATCCTCTCAGCCACTCCATTTTGTTGAGGGCTGTATGGCACAGTCTTTCGATGAACAATACCGTTACGCTGACAAATTTCATCCATGGCCTTGTTTACAAACTCAGTGCCGTTGTCAGAGCGTAGACACTTGATGCGCTCTCCCCACTGATTCTCGTACATGGTTTTGAAAGACTCAAATCTTCTCGGCACCTTGCTCTTTTTCTTAAGGAAGTATGCCACAACGTACTTCGAGTAGTCGTCAACGAAGGTAAGCACATACTTCGCGCCACCTTTTGATCTCGTCTTCATCGGTCCCATTACGTCTGTATGAACAAGTTCCAGAACACGGGACGTCTTCGTCTGTGAATGAGATGGGAACTGTGTCACCGTTTGCTTGCCTTTCAAGCATCCACTGCATAGCGCCTTCGTCTTGAAATTGGTGATTGGAATACCAGTCGCTACACGCTGCGTCTTTGCCAGCGCGTCCTTGTTCAAGTGACCCATACGAGCGTGCCAAAGATCATAATTGCTATCGACGTCCGAGTATTCCACGTATTGCGCCGTTCCCTGCTGACATTCTAGTATGTAGGCCTTGCCGATCTTTTCCCCGAGGCGGTGGATTGGTTTTTGTTCCAAATGATACATGATGTGCGCTCGAACTCAACATTGAGTCCGCGTTCTGCTAGCTTGCCGACCGATAGTAGTCGTCGATCCAGGCCAGGGATGTGGAAAATGTCTAACATCCGAATGCGCTTGCCGTCAATGCTTTTAAGCGCACCGACCCGGTTCCTACCACACGGATCTTCTTTCCATCCGCGATGGTCACCTCAATGCTTGTCACTAGGTTTTTGTAGCCGAACAAGTCTTCTCGTTGCGGCGTCATGTGTGCCGTTGCACCACTGTCGATTAGCCACCCTCATGATCGACTCTCCCCGGCAGCGAAAAAAGCCTCCTCTTCATTTTTGCCAGGCCCCTTAATGTCCGGGCAGTCCCGCTTCATGTGACCGAACTTGTCACAGTTGAAGCATTTGCCTTTGAACCCACTTCTTTTCCTCGAGAAGTTGTCCTTGCGTCCAATGTTCCTTCCGCCCTTGTCGAACCTTGCGTTCTTCGACTTGATCCCATGTGTTGTAGCCTTTAGCGCGCGTTCCGTGGCTTCCTTCTTGTCCTGTCGCTCATACACCTTAAGAAGCTTCTCCTTTACCTCAATGAGAGTGACGTCCTTGGCGTTCTCCACCATCGACGCTATAATTTCGTACTCTGCAGGCAGACTGCTGAGCAACACCACGAGCTGTCGCGCTTCGTCAATTGGATCTTCCAGAGACTGGAGACCAACAATGAGTTCATCGAACTTGTCCAGATGCTGGGTCATCTTCACGCCGTCGTCCATATTAAAATCATGAAGACGGCGGGTCATCGTTACCCGATTGTGCATGGTCGTGCGATTCTAGAACTCACGTAACGTAATTTATGCCTGGATAGCCGTCGTTGCCGACAGAATCTTGGTGTGATGCTCCCCCGCAATGCCTTGAGCAATCAATTTCAGTGCCTTCATGTCGTTTATCACCCACGCTTCAGTCATCTCAGCTTCGGGCTTGACCATCTGGATGTGTGCTAGCAGTCCCTTTCTCGCCAGCGTCATTCGCATGACAAACTCCCAGTGGAAGTGGTTGTCGCTCCCAAGGATGACTTCAGCCCTTTTCGTAGACATGGAAGCGGCGACGTTGTTCTTGAGCGTCTTGCGGATGTTAACCTGTTGAATTGATATATGTAGAAGAAGGCAAATATTGTGAAGTAAATATATTTGGTCCTTAGTTCACTATCTTGAGCTACATCTAAACCTGTCCTCGTCAGATCTTTGTTACTGACGTCATCTAGATATGTCCGTTAATAACGTCATGTCCTTTCAGCTATTGGCCTTTATCATATCCGTATCCTGAAACGTCAGGATACGAATATGATATCATATAGCGCCATTCGCCTGTCCAACATGCATTCAGCGGTGAAATATCAACACTATGTCAACTATATCAAACTACAACTATGTATGTTGACAACTTGCCCTCCACTCATTGCGCGCGTCCGTCGGTCATTTGTCAGCGTGTGGTTGATATGATGGCCTATATCAACCAATTAGAGGGCATCTTTAAGGAGATCTAGGGACAATATTATAAGAAAGATAATATTGTCAAATATTATTTCTTATAATATGTTTTTATATTGACACTTCATATATGTGTTAATATTATGTAACGAAGTCACCTCGTTACACCAGTATTCGGCATCAGCTCACGTGATGTGGTTCAAAAATTGATCCGTATCCGTGAGACACTGGGCGCGGTGCAGACTCGTCTGCAGGTTTCAAAGCAGCAGCAGCCTCGGCTAAAGGCACAGCTGGGCGTCTCAATTCGGCTGTCATAGCCCGTGGAAAAGCTGGATTACTCGGAGCAAGCACCTCCACATTCACGTAAGAGGATCCCGATATGGCTTAAGCATGCCAACTGAAACACATGATATTAACGCAATTTTCGAGGCAAATCTAGCGTATACGCTTGGCTCAACCTGGAATTGACCTTAAAAGGTCCGATGAAGCGTAAACACAACATCAGCATTTAGACAGCTGACACTACTTAAGTAAGAATATTCTTAGCATTAAGTAAAACTTCGGTTCCAACCTTATAAGTTTGGTATAGTGCTCTTTAAAATGTGAAGGACTCAGGGGCCAGTTAAATAAAAGGACCAGAAGACCGCTCAGCAGAGAGAGGGACCGGAAAGAAAGAGGACAACGGGGGCAAGCGACCGTTAGCTGGGAATAGTTTGAAGAACCAGCAACGGGGGGGGTTCATTATTTAAGTACAAAGAAATTGGTACCGAAAAAGGTCCCCCCCCTTTCTTCTTAAGGTTTTTTTTATTTTCGAAATATCTGATATTTACGGTAGACCCCGTTCCCCCATCGGAAGACCTGGTCCCTCATCAGTAGATCTGTTTACTCATCGGTAGACCTGATCCCTCATTGGTAGACCTGACTCTCATTGGAGGACCTTGTCCCTCGTCTGTAGACTTGGGCCCTCGAAGTTTGCCCTGGTTCCTCGTCAGTTGACCTAATTCCTCGTCGGTCGTCCTCGGCCCCTTGTCGGACGACCTTGGTTCCTCATTGGTAGATCTGGTCCCTCAAAGTTCAGCCACTCCTGACCAGTTCACACAAGGATCAGACCAGTCAACACAAGGAATCCGGGCTTCAGACAAGGATAGAGTGATGGAGTTATGGGATAGAAATATATTAAATACAACTCCATTTGCGATCTACGTAGCACGTCTTCGTCGCTCTTACAAAAACTTGAGTCTGACCACACACCTGTTCCGGAGAATAGGTATATTATTCCCTGCCCCCGTTGAAGACAGTCGTGTGGTTAAGTTCAAGTGCGAGATGAACCCCACGTGGCACGACTTCGCCGCGCTATAAACAAACTTGCTCTTAGCTACAGCCTGTTCCGGGAAGGGATATATTTTGCCCCCCCCCCCCCGTTGAAGACAGTGTGTAGCTAAGTTCAAGTGCGAATAGAATCCCAGGCTATATTTAGCCTGTGGGTTCGTGTCGAGCAGCATCCCCCAAGACCCGCTATCGGAAGCGGTCTCTCTCACCTCACGGTACGGGATCAAAGAAAAGGTCAGGCGGTTAATGACCCTGAAACAACAAGGAAAAGGCCAAGGACGACAAGCTTCCTGAAGAATTTGTCTCGAAGTCTACTATCGACAAGGTCGATCGAGTGGCCACCTACCGACCCACCGAGTGAAGCATATCCACTAGAGGCCCCCCAGGTCTACATCTTTCGAGGCAGACATCTACATCTTCACCAAATATTGCGAAGAGTGGAACTCGCCAGCCGACGGGTACACAAGGTGAGAGAAGGTCCATACGCGGCATCGGGATACCCCCTCCGACAGTCGGCAGTCCGGCAAAGTGAGTGGTTTGGAGTCTTATCATAACATAATAAGTATCCAATCCACCACAATAAGTATATGTTAGTTTTAGCTTATAGTTTAAAGCGTTTAGCTATATGGAGGTTATCGTCCTAAGAAATAGATGCTTACTTTATCTGGCAGAAAAGGTGTAATGGGCCACATTACACACATATCATGAACACAAATAAACAATAACATATGTAGGCAGGTGCTGTGCTCGAGTAGCCGGCACAGCGTGGCAATTTATTATTGGTTTATTATGGGGGCCTAAAGTCCCAATATGGACAAATAATAGATTAACCTGAAAATGAGTTGTTCCCGAAAGGCGGGAACTCTATCGTATTTATTACGACTAAAATCTTCGTAATTAGTACGAATTAAGAAAAATAAAAAACAGAGTTAAAAATAACTTAATACCTTTTACTTGGGCTTGAGTCTTTCTCAAGCGCAATTGTGAGCTAGTGACGGTACTATCTAGCCCCGTAATGTAAATTAAATGCAGGTGCAGCATACAGCGATCACAGCGAATCAGTTTCGCTATGACGCGTGCGAGGGAAGTATTAGGTGGTAACATATCCCCAAATCCTTATCGTCACGCCGCCTCAGCAAGTCTATCAGGACCTAGCAGAGCGGTAGTAGCTAGTGCTTCTACTCGTAAGTAGCCACCAGCCCAGTCACGTCGACGCAACGCGTCAAACGGTTCCCAAGAGTCGAAATTCTTCGGGTATCCTTTCTAATAAATAAGGATCTGAAGCTTTTGCTTCACATGGCGATTGCCAACAACCTTCCAACAAGGCAGCGTGTGTTCCCACCGCATCCACCAACACAGGTGGCGCCCAGTAGGAGAAGCAATTACGCCCAACTACTCGCGGCTGCCTATCCTTTTGTCATTCAGTCGAAGGCGAAGATCGCTGCGCTGAAGAAAGAGGTGAATGGTCTTTCAGGTAACGTTTTGAGACTGACTTCGGATCTACGCGATAATAATTCGAAGTAACGTCAGGGTTATTACCGCCTGAACCTTCGCTAAGGCATTTTATTAGCGACTGAATGATGAGAGACCCGCGTCCAACGTGTAGTCCTTCTCGATCATTGAGTCCCCTATCGCCTCGCTCGTATACGGGGAGCCTCTCGGATTCACCGTCGCCTGATCGGCAACGACGATTGACTCACAGTCGACGTCACCATCGATCTCGTTTGACCGATGTGGACATGTGATCTCTTCTTGATCAACATATCGTTTCAGACTACCCACGTAAAATACGGGGTGCGTCTTCATATACGGTGGGAGAGTGAGCCTATAGTTTAGGTCTTCAACTTCTTCAACCAATGTAAAGGGCCCAATGAATCGGGGCAATAGCTTAGTAGTACCACCAGGTAGTACAGAAATTGCATGTTTAGGTAAGGTAGCAGTACTTAATAGCACTTTGTGCCCTACACTAAAATGTTCATTGTTTTTGCAGCCATGCTGGTCTGCATATTGTTTTTGCTTGTCCTGTGCGCTTGCCATCGCGTCACGGACTTTACGTGTGATGGCTAATCGCTCATCCACAAAGCGCTGAGCTTCGCTCACGCTTTTAGCATCCACCTCGCCGATGACGCCTCCAAGAGGTCGTTCATGGGACGACGCTGTTGATAACACTATAGTGTCATCATCAAGGAGCACTGGCATTTCTTGTCGTGCCTCCTCTGTGACACCCATAGGTGACGTGACCACTGCTAAATTAGCAGTGTCACTAGGGCAACCTTGGCCCTCTTTGGCATTCGCACCGAGCGAAGTGAGGGGCTCTCCCCCACTAAGACTCGGGCTGCGTACAAACGAGACTGACGTTCGAGGATGACGCAGTCCGTTAATGTAAAACGGTGTTTCACCCGTACTGGCGTGAACACTGTTATTAATAGCGAACTACACGAATGGAAATTGCTTGCTCCATTCTTTGGGAGTCGCTACTGTACGCAACACATCTGCCACGACTCGATTGGCCCGTTCTGTTTGGCTATCAGTTTGGGGAAGATCAGCGGTTGACATGTGGAGCTTGCTTCCCAGCAGCTCAAACACATGTCGCCAAAAACCCGACGTAAAACGCGGATCCCGGTCCGATACTATGGACTCAGGCATCCCGTGTAGTCGATACACGTGATCCAGAAACAAAAGGGCAGAATCTTTATCCTGAGATCTTGGTGCTTCATGGTGCTAAGTGCACCATCTTGCCCAGTCGGTCTACAAAGACGACGAGCCCCGTCCTGTCTTTTTGGTCAGGCGGTAAACCAAACATGAAGTCCAGAGTGACCGACTTCCAACATTCAGTCGTAATCGGCAGTGGCTTCAATAGCGCACCGATAGAAGGTGCAGGCTTTATGCGCTGACACTCTTCGCAAGAGCGAATATAGTTGGCCACACACCGATATAGGTGGGGCCACCAAAATTCCTCTGACACTCGTAAGAATGTCTTTTCACGGCCAAGATGCCCACTAGATGGCGCATCATGGCATTCGTGTAGTATCATCAGCTTGAGATCTGTGTCATGAGGGACATAGATTCTCAAGGGATTACAGGGTGACAGCTGATGCCATAATAGGCCATCACTGTAACTAAAGCGATTTAATTTCGCTTTGAGGTGCGACGGAAGGGTAACATTTCTTCCACCAAAATGATCCAACAGCAGGCGACAATGTTCGTCCTGATGTAACACTATTTTACATCGGAGGCCATTGAGCTCGTGACATGGTGGGCCTTCATGGCTGCCAATG